ATGAATCACGCTAACGTATACACATATTGCAGAGCACGTGTTACCATGATTAACGATCTTTGCACGTTGGCATCACAAGCGATCCTACCATTTTTCACGTCTATGCCCCACGCTCCATATTGAGAATGTTAGCACACAATATATGAGTACTACTGCCACAAACACAATGTATTACATAATGAAATCACAAAATACAACAATTAAGAAACATCACAAGTACCTACAGAATTTGAGTATTTAATTTATGACTAAAAAGTATTAGGGAGTAATTAACTAGGCAGACAAGCAACCGATACCATAGCGACAGTGGCGGATCCAGGAAAAAATGTTGTTGGGGGCATAACAGTAAGTAAATACTTTAGAAGAACAAAAATCGGTAATATTGGTGTTTTTTTATTATTAAAAACGGTTTTTTATATTAATATCAAGAAATTGTACAAGACAACCTCCCGACAGTCGTGCCAGAGCCGATCATAAGCCCTAACAATAGAAAAAATTCGGCCACTTCATACAAAGTAACATGATTCGCTAGAAACAAAACGACTAACAAGCAAATTTAAGCCTAAAACATTCGGAACTGAAACATTGTATATCAAAAGTACTCCAGAAATCAAAATATCCAAACCAGAGTAAAATACAAATAAGTACTACTGAGAAAAAATACAATTCTAAAAAATAAAGCATTTCTGCAAAAATAAAGCATTTCTACAAAACTTATCCTAGCACGGGGTGGTTCTAGAGGAGGTGGGGGAGCTCTAGCATTATCTACACAGCCCAAAGAAAGCAGTTTGAAATTTTAATCAGACAAGCTAACCGAGACATCAAAACTACTCCCCACATCGAGGGAGACAAAACAAACCGGAGTGCTAATGCATGCTTGAAAAATAACTGCCAAAACACGGAACAAATAAACCCGAAAAGAAGAATATATAGTCCAATTGGATGATACTCCTATCAAGAACCTCTCCTGCCTAGTATTATTGTATTTTAACAAAATACATCACAATTGTTTCAGCAAAAGTTTCTTCTTTTGGATAAAGTCCATTACACTTATATTTCAAATAGCTTCAATTCCCGTGGAAACTGACAAAGTCAATAGTAGTTTTATTAGCTTTCATTGAGAAGCGCTATTAGAGATACTAATATTTGAGCTACCCGATGTTAATGAAAGATTGGTAATTAAGTATCTCTTCATTAAGTAGTGAGAAGTGAAAATAATATTATATTATTACGGAATACGTATATATTAAGTTAGTTACACATTAGTACATTTAATTTGACTGTTTAAGATACTCCCTCCGTCCCATAATGGTTGTCCACTTTCAATTTGGCACGATTATTAATAAAGTGGTTGAAAAGTAAAAGTTGTGGTTGAGATTTGAGTAGAATAAAGTGAATTAATAAGAACCACATATTTCATGCCAAAAAAGGAAACAAGACATTCATTTTGGGACAACCCAAAAAGAAAAGTAGGACAACCAAAATGGGACAGAGGGAGTAACTTATTATTTAAATTTTTTATATTTAACTATCTCAATGAAATTTTTCTAATATTAACTATCTTAACAAATCATCAATTAAATTAAATACATTAGATGTCAGACTTTTTCCAGAGATCACCAACTCTTCACATAAGCAACAAATAGCAATGCCCGAAACTTTAAATTTTCTTACAATAAATTAGTAACTCATGAATTAATAATACTATTCCTATCTCAATCATTATCTGTTCTGACATCTAAAATTCACACTTTTTCATTTAGGTTGAGCCTATGATAAACTAGCAGAACTTTTAGCTAGGAGGTCGGGCTGCTTTATTGGGGGCACCAGTTCATTTTTATTGGGGGCAATACTTGGTCTTATAAAAATTTCTAATACATTATATGAATTGAGTGGAGTTTTATTGGGGGCAGCTGCCCCCACTCCTTCCTCAATACATCCGCCCCTGCATAGCGAGTGTTTGGAAAGACAAGAAACAGCCCACTGCAAATAATCCCAACCATCAATGGGAAACTCTGCATCACTTCATCCATCTCCTTCCCATGCATGTCCGGGGAACAAACAGTCCGTCACACTGTGGTCGGAAAATGCGATCGCCGCGAAAACCATCACCGACATCACAGCGTGCACGAAGTCCATGAACCGAACCTTGTACCAGTCGTCCTTTGGGACCTCCACTCCGGGGTCGCTCTTGAACACCGTCAACCCCCGGGGCGTCACAAAGCCGGAGTACACTTTTCGGCCGTCAGGCCCTCGAAAGCTGTCGGTGAAGTGGAAGAAGAAGCATGAGAGGGCACAGAGGGCTAGGAGGACGAGGATCATGGTGGTGCTGACGGAGGATCGGAACACTGCCCTTTGGTGTAGACGCTGGGGAGGACCATCTCAAAGGTTAGTAGCGTTCCGGTGGGGAGGAAGTTGACCAGCAGCGACGTTTTGGACAGTGTTTTTTGTACCCCGGCCGCCACCGCCCGTTTTTTCCGACCTCCCACGGGCACCGGCATGTCGGGTGCACTCGCCGGCAGAGATGAGTCTGGGGATATTCTGATTCCGATTCCTTCTCCTTCTTCGTGATCCATTTTTGTGCTCTTTTGTTCAAATTAAAGGCCAGTAAAAATATTAGATTTCAGATATATTTACAAAAAAAGTAATTGACCCAAATAGGACTAAAACATGCTTAAAATTCCAAAGTAGGAGTTTAAGTTTTAAATTCCCTAAATAGGACTCCACGTTACATTTATACCCCTTATCCCCAAATTTATTGATCGACTCTTCTCCTACCAACGCCTGCGATTTCTCCCTCCCCATCGACCGACACCTCCATCGATTGCAGCCCCTCCCCTGCGAATCTGTCATGGATCAGGACAACAACTTCTCCGCCATGGATTTAAGCCAGCCGCACATGTGTTTTACGATTTCTCCGACGAAGTAGATCAGGTAATCTTCCTCTTCTTTTTCATCTTCTTCCTCCTCTTCTTCATCTTCTCTTCCTCCTTCACTTCTTTCTTCTTCCTGATTCTCTGCTTTTGTTTTGTGAACTACTCTGATTACTTTCAAATTCCAAAATAAAATTTTGGATTTGAAAATTTCAGATGAAGAGCCAAATTTTTATGAACAACAAAGTGAAAGAAATGAGTTTGAATTTTTATATATTTATCAATTTTGATTGATTTGAAATATGAGAATATCATAACTACTATGTATTAGAAAAATGCCACAACTATCAGTTTCATGACATTAAACATATAAAGATGTCAGTTTTATTACATAATTTCCTATAAAAAATGCCACAACTATCAATGTGAAAATACATTTGTTTAAATCTAAAATTTATATATTTTTATAGCAGCAAATGTCATTTTTTATATGAGAATGTGATGGTTATGTCACAACTCTGTTCTTGGTTCTCTTCTTTCTTTTTTAATTTGAATCTCAAAATGCATTGACTAAGATTTTCAAGAAAATGTCACTTTTTGAATCAAAGAATGTCATCTTTATTGGTTATTTCTTAAACATGTCACTTTTGTGTCATTACAGTATTTGGAAATGTCATATTGAGAATTTCATGTTTCTATTTAAAATTGTCATTATTGTGTCATTATGCATATTAAGTGGCATTCTTGCATATTAAGTGTCATTCCTCATGGAGGTCTGCACAAACTCATTGGGGGGCAGATCCTTGTGGGAGGATGATGGAAGCGTACTCACTAAGGGGCGGTGGTGGCAGACTTGATGGAGGGTGGCGGAGGCGTCATTGGAGGCATCGACTCTTGGAAGCGCACACATGAATGGAACTCGCATAGACCACTGCGATCACAAACCCCTGCGATCTTTTAATTTTTCATTAAGGGTAATATTGTCAGATTAGCCATTTTTAGTCCTATTTTTGTCTAATTAAACATAGTGATCCTATTTTTGCAATTCTACCTTCTTTTAGTCCTATTTAGGCAATTCTCTCTTACAAAAACTGTAATGCTTAACTGCCTTGCTAGGATCGGTTACAACGTAACTTACACTAGTATTACACTGAGCAATGCCCGAGATAATAATTTTGTTGCACTTTAATTATGATATTTTCATATTAAAATATAAATGTAAGATATACGGAGTACTATTCTAATAACATTGAAATATAAGTTTGATATGATAAAAAGAAATATTACAAAAGATTTTATACAAGATAGCTAAAAACATTACAATACGATGGAAACTAAACATTTTAAAAACTTGTGGGTGTACAACATTTAATGGGAACTATTGGAGGCGTCATCTTTGTTGCTTATTAATTTTTTTAATCTTTCATGCTTGGTAACTTATGAAATGCAACAAGCATTGAAATTTTAATACCTGTTGAAATATCCTTTCAAAAAAAACCCCGTTGAAATATACTACGTACAAATCACTTGTAATATGTGCTAGTACAGAAATAACTTGTAATCTATGCCGCCGCATACAAGTCAATGCTTGACATATTGCTAGCAGTACAAAGATTTTTTTTCCTATACGAGTATATTGTTACACCAAATTTTACACTAATAATCAAATATACGAAGTAATTTTTATTCTTGGGCTGATGATAACTATTAATTTAAAATATTCTCTCAATCTCATAAAATTTTATCAACTTTCTTTACTTAACCGTACCAAAAACCATACCACAATATTTGTTCCTTAATAAAAAAACAACCTTTAATTTTCTTCTGTTAACTATTTACATGAAGAGGAGGGGCATTTTTTTTAGAAATGGATGGATGCACCCTCTGGTGATTTAGTAGTATGTTTTGTTTAAAGTAAAAGAGAAAAAAATCTGAAAATATCATAGCTTAGTTGCAAGTATGGCAGCGTTTTTCTCTAAAAATATACCAGTACATCTATTGGAAATAATGTATTGAAAAAGTACCTGATATGAGGCCATTTGGAAACACTGTTTTCCAGCTTATTAGGCTTATCAGCCAACTTTTTCACCAAACACGTAATTTTTGCTTTCGTGCGCTGAATTGTGTAATAAACAGAAAAAGTATTGTTGGAGTTACTTTTCTGGTTGTATTGGCTGAAGTTACTATATATGATCATTTTAGTTATTTTTACATACGAAGTATAATTTTTTCTGTATTTTATTAATAAAATATATTTTAAAAATAATTTTTTCTTAAATTAGCAGAATCAACCAATGCAGCCACTTCACCCAGAACTTCATAAATTTCAGCAGAATCAGCCAAAACAGCCGATTTTCGTGCTACCAAACGCCTCATACTTGCCTTAGGACTTTCTTGGATTTTCTTGGATTTTACACCTTAATTATGCTTCTTTACTTGTTAGATTTTTTTTCCTTCTCAGACCTCCTTTTAGCCGATGGTTCAGCTGTTTAACTTCCACTTCTCCAAAATAGAATTTTTTCTTAAAATAATGTCAAATAAAAAAATATTTCCCAAAATAAGGTTAGTTTAAAAATATTTTCCAAAATACTACTCGCCTAAACTCTGGTTGAAGAGCCGCCACTTGAAGTGGGGGCTTATATACGAAACTAGAAACGCAAGAGGAATCACGCAGGAGGAAGAGAAATGAGATGGGCCCTGTGAAAGTATATTAGAATATACTTTAGAATATGCTTTAGAATATATTAGGAATATACCATATATAGTATTATTGTATAGCATCTTTTATAGGAATATTCTATCTTTGTAATCTATATTTATAGGGCTTTACCCTCCAATGAAATACACAGAAAATCTTTCCTCCACTCTTCAATATTATTCTAGTTTATATTTCAACATGGTATCAGAGCCTTTCACTTCAGTTTAGTTTTTTTTTTCAGATTTCAATTTAGTTTTTCACACTCAGTTCTTTCTCAAAGAACTTGAGTTCAATTTCAGAACCTCTGTGCACCAATCTGTGTACAAGAAACTCAACCCAAACAGAACCTCTCTACACATAATCACCATTACCCAGAACCTCTATTCAGAACCTTAGTTCAATCTCAGAACCTCCTATACCTCATATTCTTCCCCGAACCTCTTCCCACAAGCTTTTGCCAGAACCTCAGATCTCAGAAGCAACTGGGTATCCTACAATCCTGTTCAACCTCCCTCATCCTCTGGTTCTCCTGCCTCCGTCGACTGAACACCCGAAGTTCGCACGCCCAAATCATTGTGCGTGAGTGACACGCGCCGCCGGAAAATTCCGCAGCCAACTCACGCGCCGGCGCGTGACGCCGTGTTTCTGGCCGGAAACTGATCGGAACTCTTCGCCTTAAACTCGCCTGAAAGTCCTCTACCAGGTATACTTTACTTATCTCGGTCTTTTTTCATCAAGGGGCGAGTATCTGTCGTTGGTTGCTGGAGTCTGACATCGGACATCTCTGGACGGATATTTGGGGATACCGGCTCCATCTGTGGACTTCCGCTGCTCCACTCTAGTTGTTGTTCGCATCTCCTGGCGCCTGGCATATTTGTACACATCCGATGCTTCCTTTGGTTGTTCGCACATGCTGGGGCTTGCATCAGACGGACACATCTCTAGCTTGAAATTAAGTATGCAGTCCGTAGCAGTCAAGGCCCAGGTTGGATATTTAATTCTCCAAATTTTTTAGTCCACACGGGAACTGCTGTAAGATTTCACAATATCTCAATTTTTTTAAGTATCTAATTACTATCTTTAACACACACACACACACACACACACACAAAAGTTAAAAAAAAACAAAAAAAAGTTAGAAAAAAAATGAAAAAAAAAGTTATGTCTTGTACGAGTGGATTTGACAGAGGAGTAATATGCAATTATTGCAAAAAGCCCGGACACTTGATCAAAGAGTGTAGGAAATTGATGTTCAAAAATCGAGGAAATCAGCCTGCTCATATTGCTTCCGCTACCAGTTCATTTGACGGATCAGTTGTTATTTCTTCAGACGAGTATGCCAAACTTAATTGCTACCAAGAATCTCTAAAGCATTCATCTATCCCTATCTCTGTAGCCGCGAATTCAGGTATTTCAGCCACATGTCTTGTTTCATCATCCTTGAAATGGGTCATTGACTCAGGTGCCACAGATCATATGACCGGTAATCCTAGTCTATTCTCGTCATTTCATTCATATTTACCTTCTTCTAGTGTCACTTTAGGTGATGGATCTACCTCACCAGTTCTTGGATCCGGTACCGTTGTCCCAACTTCTACATTACCATTATCGCCTGTTTTGAGTCTTCCTAATTTTGCATTTAATCTTGTTCTGTAACATTTTTTCCTAGATATTGTGTGTTTTAGGATCTGTTAACGAAGCAGACTATTGGTAAAGGACATGAGTCAGCTGGTCTTTATATTTTGGATACATCAATCACAAAAGGTATCTCTTGTCTTGGGGTTGGCACTTTGTTAGATGCTCATTACCGATTAGGACATCCATCTCTCCCAATAATGAAGCAAATAAATCCCCAATTTAATAAGATGACCTCTTTACAATGTGAGTCATGTCAATTTGCGAAACATCATCGTACTAGCTTAAGCCCTCGAGTTAATAAACGAGCAAATGCTCCATTTGACCTTGTTCACTCTGATGTTTGGGGTGCTTGCCCAGTTGTGTCTAAAGCTGGTTATAAATATTTTGTTACCTTTGTTGATGACTATTCTCGTATGACATGGTTGTATTTCATGAAACGTCGATCTGAGTTGTTCACTCATTTTTCTTCCTTTTGTGCTAAAATTAAAACTCAGTTTAACGTTCCTGTTCGGGTGTTAAGAGGGGACAATGCCCAAGAATATCTATCTGCTACATTTAAGTCATTTATGTTTCAGCATGGCATTATTCATCAAACTTCATGTGTTGACACACCTCCTCAAAATGGGGTTGCAGAACGAAAGAACCGACATCTGCTAGAAACTGCAAGGGCTCTTCTATTCCAAATGAATGTGCCTAAACAGTTTTGGGCCGATGCTGTGTCTACTGCATGTTTTTTGATAAATCGTATGCCATCTTCTGTTTTGAATGGTAAAGCTCCTTATCATTGTCTATTTCCAAACAAAGAGCTTTTTTCTATCCCACCTAAAATATTTGGTTGCACTTGTTTTGTTAGAGATGTTAATCCTCATCTTACAAAGTTAGATCCCAAATCATTAAAATGTGTTTTCTTGGGTTATTCTCGAGTCCAAAAGGGGTATAGATGTTTTTGTCCGAGTACTGGTCGGTACCTTGTTTCTATTGATGCATCATTTCATGAAAATACACCTTTTTCATCATTTAAGGCAGATATTCATGAGAGTAATGATGATATTCTCATTTACACGATGACTATTCCCGAGTCCACAATTTCGACAAATATTCCACAAGTTACTGTTCCTGACCCTAGGCCTCCCGTACATTTGGTATACACCCGTCGACACAAAGCACCTGATCACTCTCCACCGGCGATACCCGTGATTACATATCCTGATACTAGTTCGACTCCGATCTCATGTCCTGAACCAGTACCTGCATCTTCAGATCTTGTCTCCACATCAGATCTTGACCTCCCAATAGCACTACGTAAAGGTACACGGTCTTGTACTCATCCTATTTCTTCGTTTGTGTCGTACAATCAGTTATCTCCTGCTTCATGTTCTTTTATTGCTTCCATTGATTCTATTTCTATTCTCAAATCTGTCAAAGAAGCTTTGTCTCATCCTGAATGGCGTCATGCCATGGTAGAGGAAATGAATGCTTTAGATCTTAATGGTACTTGGGATTTGGTTGACTTGCCTACAGGGAAGAAATCTATTGGATGTAAGTGGGTCTTTGCTGTTAAGGTTAACCTAGACGGATCTGTTGCTAGGTTGAAAGCCCGATTAGTTGCGAAGGGTTATGCTCAAACCTATGGTGTTGATTATTCTGACACCTTTTCTCCTGTTGCTAAATTAACATCTGTCAGGTTACTTATTTCACTCGCTGCAACTCATGATTGGCACTTACATCAGTTGGACATTAAAAATGCATTTTTGCATGGTGACCTTAAGGAAGAAGTGTATATTGAGCAACCTCCGGGATTTGTTGCTCAGGGGGGAGTATGGTAAAGTTTGTCGACTTCGCAAATCTCTTTATGGTCTGAAACAGAGTCCTCGTGCATGGTTTGGGAAATTCAGTCAATCAATTGAACAATTTGGAATGATAAAAGGCAAATCAGATCACTCTGTCTTTTACAAACAAACAGAATCAGGTGTCACATTGCTTGTGGTGTATGTTGATGATATTGTGATTACAGGGAGTGATAATGTAGGTATTTTGTCCCTTAAAAATTTTCTGCATAGTCAATTCCAGACGAAAGATCTTGGCTCTTTGAAATACTTTCTGGGAATTGAGGTAACACGAAGTTAGAAAGGCATATTTCTATCTCAACGTAAATATGTACTTGACTTACTAGCTGAGACAGGGAAATTAGGGGCAAAACCAAGTACAACACCCATGGTTCCCAACGTGCAACTCGCTCAAGAAGGCACACCATTTGAAGACCCAGAAAGATATAGAAGACTGGTTGGAAAGCTTAATTATCTCGCAGTCACTCGTCCAGATATTGCTTATTCTGTGAGTGCAGTGAGTCAATACATGTCATCTCCAACCATTGATCATTGGGCTGCAGTAGAACACATATTATGTTACTTAAAGGGTGCACCAGGACGAGGTATTGTTTATCAAAACCATGATCACATGAGAATAGAATGTTTTGCAGATGCTGATTGAGCCGGTTCTAAAGATGATCGAAGATCTACATCTGGTTATTGTGTCTTTGTTGGTGGTAATCTTGTATCTTGGAAGAGTAAGAAGCAGAATGTGGTTTCTCGTTCGAGTGCCGAATCAGAATATCGAGCCATGGCACAATCTGCATGTGAGATCATATGGATAAGCCATTTATTGACCGAGCTCGGACTGAAGACATCAATGCCTGCTAAATTGTGGTGTGATAACCAAGCTGCTATACACATAGCAAACAATCCTGTATTTCATGAGAGAACAAAGCATATTGAGGTCGATTGTCATTTTATTCGAGAGAAGATACAAAAAGGATTGATCTCTACAAGATATGTGAAGACTGGGGAACAACTTGGAGATTTGTTCACTAAAGTACTAAATGGAATTCGAGTTGGTTATTTATGTAACAAGTTGGGCATGATAAATATCTATGCTCCAACTTGAGGGGGAGTGTGAAAGTATATTAGAATATACTTTAGAATATGCTTTAGAATATATTAGGAATATACCATATATAGTATTATTGTATAGCATCTTTTATAGGAATATTCTATCTTTGTAATCTATATTTATAGGGCTTTACCCTTCAATGTAATACACAGAAAATCTTTCCTCCACTCTTCAATATTATTCTAGTTTATATTTCAACAGGCCCCAACAATAAATGAAATTCCATTTTTACTCTGATTCGTAAATTCTTAAAATTAAGCAAAGAAGCATAATTAAGGTGAAATATAACTTTTTATTTGTGCTCTGATTCTTAAAAAATATCAAAATTCATAAATTTTTATTAACTTTCATATGACACCAATATTCAATATATAAAAATAAAAAATAATTTATAACGTTTTCTTATCTTTCATAAGACACTAATTTTGAAGATAGAACAATTAAAAAAATTAATTCTATTGATTTATGGAGTTTATGATCGCTTTTTACCGTGTACACAATTAATTAGTAGTGATATTTTATAATAAAACTGCACAAAGAATAAAACAATAAATAAAGGTGATGGAGTGTGTGCAGTTTTATTCTAAGCTATGTCTTCTGATTAATTGTTTGCACGCTAAAATCGATCAATACTAATTAATTGTGTGCATGCCTCAAATTAAATTCACTACTAAGGGCTAATACCGTAGTATATAGCGTAGTAGAGTTCGTATCCACGGGGAAAAGAGCTTTTCGCGTATGTGTAAGCGTAATAAATAAAAGTAAACGGAAGGGGGAATTGGATATTTTGATAATTGAGAAAGCAAATAAAATACTTAAATGAGTGAAATAAAATATCAAAGGTAATGAGTCTTGGTTTTGCTTTTATCCACTTAATGAAATGTTCGTTGATCCCGGTGATATCTTTAACTATCTTTCTCTCGAATACTCAATCGAGGAGTATATCCAGTTCATCAAGGGTAGTTATTAATAACGAGATGCGTTCATTAATAAAACTTACTACAGAATTAATATAGAACACGCGCCGTATATTTACTCGATAGTAGCAATTGATTCAAGATGAAAACGATTGAAATTGATAACCTCAACACAAGCGGTTTATTAGTTTAATCAATATAATTAATTCCCCTTAGATTATTAACCATGAGACGCATGCATTAATAATCCAAGTTTACTACCGTGAAAAGATTGAACGATTAACAAGCGTATTCGTCGATCGATTCTAGTAATAATTAATATATGAGACAAAACTAGTTGATCCTTTAAGTAATGATCAAAATATTAAAATAAAATATGAATAAGAATTAATTAATATTCAAGGAAGAATATTAAAGAAGATATAAATCTTACTATAACTAATGTCAAGATGTTAACTAATTGTCATTTTAGTAACACTCCCCAACATTAATATAGAGGAAGAAAATAAATACTACTCTAACTAATGTCGAGATGTTAACTAATTGTCATCTTAGTAACACTCCCCAACATTAATATAGAGATAGTACTAAGGGGAAAATTAATATTCAAGGAAGAAGATTAAAGAAAATAACTCACAACTTACAATTCATTAAACTTCAAAGTAGCAAAACCAAGATGGAAAGACTACCTAAATTACAAGAATAAATTGTATATGAAAGAGGGAATTAAATTGGTATCTAAAATAGGAAGGAAAGAGGTGTTTTTATAGGAGAAGTGAGGTGGTTGGGTCTAAGACATAATCTGATTTTCCCATGTTCACTTGCTTTATTTGATCTCTTATGATCTCCGGGTCAAATCATATCCGATTTTTCACACATCTTTGTCCTCCTATGAAGCTTCCTCTTGTCTCCAATGCTCCTTCCTTATGCTCCCAAGATCCTTCTTCTTCTTTTCATCATATTTTTGCTTACATGTCAAAATATGTTAATATCTTCTAATTATTCTTTAATTTTAGAAGATAAAGATTACACCGTAATTGTACAAAAGCTAAGTAAACATAATGTAAAACCATTCTAAAATGTGGTGTTTATGTACTACTGAAGAGTACGCATCAAATACCCCCATGCTTAATCTTTTACTTGTCCTCGAGTAAAGTTCAATTCGATTAAGTTCAATGCTTAGGAGTGTCACGTTCCTTCTTACATTTAAAATCGGTTTTTTCTCCCAAGGTTTTATCTATTCATGCTCCCCATGCTAAGCTTTTTGTGCTAGCCTCCTTTGAATATTTCGAGAAGCTCTTTGAAAACACCCGAACGAGTATGGCCTGTACCCGATCCGATATCTTGTTGTTTGAACTTACACACAAAATTTTCTCCTACAAAAATGAAAATTTATCTCGCTTTCTCTCATTTTGCCTAGGAGTCCTTTTCGGGTTTTCATCCTAGCTCCTCATTTTTTCTTCATCTCACTGACAAATGGAGTTAAGTTGGGAATATGGATTTGGGGTGGAGTAGAGGATCAAAGTGTGTACCTGCTCTTTTCAATTTATTCAAGGTAAATGAAAAAACATAAAAGAAAATTAAAAACAAAATCACACAAACACACAATTAAAAAGTGTAGCCATTCCCCGGCAACGGCGCCAAATTTGACGTGCACTTTGTCGTGGTGTGCACTCAAAATAATATTCAATACAACAATTATACGTAATATAATGAAGTAAGGTTCGTATCCACAGGGAAAGGAACACTTTTCTTTTTAAAGAAATTATTAAGTAACGAAGGGGGGGGGGGGTTATGTTTGGTTGATGAACTTAAATTATATTTAAGCACGAAGATGAACGAGTTATGTGGTTTAATTAATGAGAAGAAGACTTGGCTTTGCTTTTATCCACTTAATGAAATGTTCGTCGATCCCAGTTATATCTTTAACTATCTTCCTCTCGAATACTCAATCGAGGAGTATATCCAATTCATCGAGGGTAGTTATTAATAACGAGACGCGTTCATTAATAAAACTTACTACCGAGTTAATATAGAACACGCGCCGTATATTCACTCGATAGTAGCAATAAAATCAAGATGAAAACGATTGAGATTGATAACCTCAACACAAGCGGTTTATTGGTTTAATCAATATAATTAATTCCCCTTAGGTTTTCAACCATGAGACGCATGCATCAACAACTCAAGTTTACTACCGTGAAAGGACCGAGTTAATAACAAGCGTATTAATCGACCGATTCTAGTATTAATTAATATATGAGACAAAACTAGTTGATCCTTTAAGTAATGCTCAAAATATTAATATGTAATATGAATAGGAATTAATTAATATTCAAGGAAGAAGATTAAAGAAAATAACTCACAACTTACAATTCATTAAGCTTCAAAGTGGCAAAACCAAGATGGAAGAGTTTAGCTCCTCATTTGGAGACTAAACATGAAGAAAATATAAAGAAATAACTTGTCTAAACTGAGCTTAGAAGTATATAGGAATTGGTGTCTTATTGTGGAGGAAATGGGGTGTATTTATAGGCTTTTTAGGCTTGCAGGGTCATGTACCTGATCGGGCTTTCAGCTCACTCGATCGGGTATAATATGTGGCTTCCTCGAAGCTGGAAAATGGGGTCGTACCCGACCGGGTCTGTCGGTCACCCGATCGGGTATGACACCCGAACGTGTTAAAATCTTCCCGCATGATGCCTTGTTCCCGGATTTGATTTGATTCAATTTTTCAGAAGGGTACCCGACCGGGTATAGGTCATACCCGACCGGGTACATATTAAAACCGAGATCTTCACTTTTTTCCTTGCAGTTTTGCACCTTCCTTCCACTTGTGATGTTCACCAATGGTCCCCAAAGTGTTCTTGGACCTATTTGAGCTCAGAATAACCCTAATCTAAACAAATTACAAATATTTTACAAACTAAACTATTACACCAAAAGTGTGTAATTTCCAAAGTAACAATCACTCTAAGTAATTAAAAACTCAAACATATACATGGAAATTACATGAATGTCAGTGCACGGTAAAAAGCGATCATAAACTCCATAAATTAATAAAATTATTTTTTTAATTGTTCCAACTTCAAAATTAGTGTCTTATGAAAGATAAGAAAATGTTATAAACTTAGATATATATTTTTTGTAACAAATGAAGCACAAATAAACTGGATATAACATTTACAAAAATATTTCAAAAGTGTTAAATTATTTTTTATTTTTATATATTGAATATTGGTGTCATATGAAAGGTAATAAAAAGTTATGAATTTTGATATTTTTTTATAAGAATCAGAGCACAAATAAAAAAAAAATTATATCAATTTTAAATAAAAATGGAATTTCATTTATTGGTGGGGGCCATCTCATTTCTCTTCCTCCCGCGTCATTCCTCTTGCGTTTTCTTGTTTCCTATATAAGCCGCCACTCTAACTGACAGCAGTATTTTGGGAAATACTTTTAACCTAATCTTATTTTGGGAAATATTTTTTTATTTGACATTATTTTAGGAAAAAACTCTCCAAAATAAACTGCCCCATCATTTACTAAATCCATAATAGTTCAACCGTTTGTAACCTCCCCACTAATGGTAGCCAAATAATTTGGGCATCCGATTTACTAAATCATTATTAGTACCTTTATCTCAAATTGTATTACAAAATCAACATTATACATTTTTTTGGTCAATCAATGTTAAAATCAATTTTGCAACTCATATTGAGACGGATAAAGTATTTATTAACTGTTTTTTTAGTCTTGTTTTATTAATTGCGCAGGATTTTTACGAAACCGGGCATCAATAGTACGCACGGTCGTGCCATGCCATACGAATTCAGCTGCCTTTCTCTATTTTCAATTTATTTAGTTTGTTTTCATATTTTTTTCACAACGAGCTTAGAGACGGAAACCCTAGAACAAGATTTTCAGCAGATATTGTTTGTAAGCTTTGTCTTTTTAATTAATTAATTACAATTAAATTTTACTTTCTCAAATACATTGTTAAAGGGATATTGACCTAAATGGGAGTAAATAAATCTTAAATTGCCAAAATAGGACTAAAGTTTAAAAATTCCCAAAATAGGAGTTATTATTTGTAATTAGACAAAAACAACCCTGAAGCTTGAAAGTCATATTGTCGCTAACCAACACGCTGGACCACCGCCGGTCATCGGTCGCCGGTCGCCGCCGGTCGCCTGACGTCTCCACCAACTCAAAATAATCTGTCGTTGTAGATCTGACCACCGCCGATGTGGATATGGTTGCCGCCGCTACAAATACGACGGACGCCGCCGGAGATCTGGTCGGATCTAACCTCCTCCGCCGGCCAGCCGCCGGCCTTGTAGATCTGGCCACCGTCGCTGCTAATCTGGAATCTACCACTGCAAATCTGGCCTTTACGGTTTCAGATCAGCTGGCCGTTCCCGGAACGAATGCCAACATTTTTATCAAATTGCCAACCTGAATCAGGAATGCCAGTTTAATGGCATTTTCAAAGCAAAATACAAAATTTTTGTAGAATAAAAATGCCATTTTGATGGCATTTTCATAGTTGAACTTTGGCATTTTTTACCAATCAAAGAAGATGGAGCATCTGCAACGAAATAGAAAAGGGAGAGAACTAGATGAGGAGGAAAAAAGACGGGGAGAACAGCCAAAGAAGAAAACCTACCTTCGAAGGAGATAAATCTCCGACGGCGATGGCGCCGGACTTCGCATCAACGGCGGTGGTGATTATGACTGGGTAGCGGCGGAGGACTTCACTTCAGCGTGCGCAGGGGAAGATGCGGCTGGGGGAGGCTTTGGTTGTTCCAGTGTGAAGGGGAAGGGAGAAGAAGCTTCATGCGGCGTAGAGGGGAGAAGATCGATGCGCAGGGGGAGAAAATTTTGCGCAGGGGAGAGGAAACGTTGGGAAAGAGAGGAAGGAGAAAGAATAAGGGTAAATGGGTAAACTAGTCCTATTTAGGGAAAAAAATATGCTTAGTCCTATTTTAGAATTTCAGGAAGAATTTAGTCTTATTTAGGGTAATAACTCCATTGTTAAATCAATTATGAATTGTGATTGTTGGAGGGGTGTTAATCATGATCTAGAGTTTAATTATTGATGGTTTAATTACATGATTATTGTTTAATTGTTAATTGTTACGTTTTGTAATTTTGAATGACCACTAGGATTATAATTACACATATAATATTCGAGAGAGATATAAATTACTCTAGTGCACCTTCACACACATCAAATTTGATTCTTTTTTTGTGACTTTGTAAAGCTTTTAACATAGTTTCTGAATATATGTGTTTTTTTTCTAAAAAATTTTGAGTGCGGAAGAGATCCGTTTGCTTTATCGTCGGTCAAACATCGTAAAGCACAATGAGACAATAATAGGGGGACATAAATAGTAATACTTAATTACTTTTTCAACCGCGTGGAGACTATAATCACTACAAGAATTTTCGGAGTTTAGTGTCTGAAAATCCGACACTAAATCCGTCACTAACGTCATTAGTGTCGGATATTAGTGGCGGATGTTCCGACACTAAAACCTGGACACAAAATGGATTAGTGTCGGATAAATTGGGCGGAAGCAAAGTAGCGGCGGAAGTTTGTGCCTGCAATTCCGCCATTACAATTAGTGTCTGATATTCCGCCACAAAAATCCGTCAGTGATATATATTTTAAAATAATAATTTTGTTTTTTAAATATGCTTTAAAAATATAAAACGAAATATTAATTTAAAATTCCTATTTAGCATTACCAAATAACGTACATCCCCCCATAATTTTGAACAATGTTTTTTTAAATATATAAATTATTTTTTAATAACATATGTACTTTTAATAATATAAACAAAATAATCTTGCAAGATTTATATTCCAAAAAATGTAGATCTAAATTCTCAATGCAAATCACAAAACATCTAATAGACTTTCAACACATAATATTTTATGTATTGATCAAAAGCTTGCTAATAAATAAACATTCATCATTCATCATTCATCAATCCATAGTGAAATGCAACATTAAAAAAACACATTAATATCAAACTTAACACAAATCTAATGAGAGAGTTATTCATCAAGAGAGTCCATGGAGTCTTTAGAGGATTCTGATGTGGCAAAGAAACTTGGTGCATCGATCCCCATTGATTTCAAAAATGGCAGCCACGTTTGTTCAAAGTTCTTGGGCTGTGAGTCGGGTTCCTTGTCTTGAATAATGTCATCCACAATTGGCATTTCAGGGGGGAGTTGATCACCTTCTGAAATTAAGAACTCCCTCATGCGTGCATCCCAAAAAACACAAAAATCATGCAACCGACGAGCTCTTGATGAAGACGAGTGTTCTGCATTACAAACACTTACTCGATGAAGGAAAGCCTTTGAATAACTGCCCGTTCCAAGAACTCTTTTCTTGTTGCACCCAACGATTTCCAAGTATCTTGAAGATAACTTAGCTGAAGAGATATTAGGTGTTGTAGAGCTTTCCTCTTGACTTGAAGGTTCAGATTGTTGTGGGCTATCATCTTGACAAACATCGTACAATTTACTCAAAGCCTCCTATACATATAAAAACTAACAAACATAAGTACACCTACAAATAAATTTAACAATAGAAGCTACCATATGCCACATTCTATTTTAGCCATAGCTACCAATAGAAGCTACAAATATTACAGAGTTTTGCCACATTTTGTAGACCTACAAAATATCAAAGCCACATTGATATTTTGGAACCACAAAATAAGTAAACCTGCAAAAAACAAACAACAAAAGTTCTGTGCAGGGTATTTTTTTACAACAAAACTTCTATATGTTACACTTGTTATGTGACTATATAGCGATCCAGGGAGTTCCAAAACTGTCAAACACAAAAATAGCATATATAGAAATCACTTCTTTGGCTTGCTGGATGCAAATTGTACTTAAGAATTCTGTCAAACACAAAATTCATTCACCAATGAATCAAAACAGATTAAAAGTGTAAAACACTAAATGAAATCAGTTTCATACTTTCCTCAGGCAAAAGCTTATACACACAAACTGTCAAATTTACTTAAAACAATTGAAATCACTAAAAAAGGGAAAAGTTAATATCATTAATCCCACCTATTAGTTTGAAAGCACTAAAACAGTCAAAAGTTCATAATTGCCATCCGTCTTTCCATCCCAGATGGCCTGGTCTCCATGAACTGTTGGTCGAATAGCATTCAATTTTTTGTTATCATTCATGATAAACAATGTCAAATTTGAGTTTGGATTGACCAAGTTAACTTTTTCAAATCTGAAAGTCAAAGAAAGATGTTAAAATTTGAAGATGGTTGAAAACCAAAATACGAAGTAAAACAAAATGAAGTTGAAGTGGGAAGGAGATAATGAGATGTGGTGGAGGGAGAACATAAAAAGAAGAAATACAATAGAGAATAATTAATGGTTGGAGCAATCCTGGATCTGGAAAACATGGCTACAACCCAAATCACTTGAACTCTTCTTCCTTATTAGTGTGGTATCCGTCAATTGCATCAGAAAGGAATAAATAAGAAGAAAGGGGCAGGAGGGAAAAATGAAAAGAAAACAGAAAAAAAATGCAAATGGGGAAGATGACCGCAGGCATAGCTAGGCTTGACTACTTGAGTCGTCCGTCCTGCATTTACTTTCCTTTGTTTTCCTTTTTCTTTTTTAATTTGTTTACCTGTTTAGTAAGTAGTAGGTCACATCGGATCAACATGAGAAGAAAACCCATAAATTTCAGATTATTTTAGAATTATCCATACTTGAGATTAATATGAGAAGACTGTCAATAGTTGAGGTTATTCGTGTGAATTTTTCCCTAAAAAAATGCAACAATTTTTTATCATCACAAAACATATCATTTACAGGAAAAAAGAAGCATATTATTTCATAAAACTAAACAATATTACATTTTAAATACTTCTAGTTTAAGCTTAAATGTAACCGTTTGTGTAGTATATAGCAAAATATGTACGTAGTACAAAGTAAATTAAAGAGTAAGTGAATACCTTTATCACATCGTGTGAAGCACAAGTAATAAGCTCTCCATTCTTCCTTTTGTCTGGGTGATAAGTACCATACATCTTCACAGGATTTATTTCTTTGCCTGTGGCCCTCAACTAAAACAAAGTATCAAAATTCATATAAGTATGATGAATCTATTAGTATATAATAGCACTCAATTTGCAATGCTTCTTATTAAGAGGCATTGAAACTGTGTGAACAAAACAAAGTGTTCGAAAGAATATCTAAATCAATAAATACATAATACCTCCCTATCAGCCTCTTACTAAAAAACTTTCCATTCTTATTATTAGTTAAAATGAAAAAATAATGCCATCACATCCTAGCAATCTAAATTTCGTATCCATGGAAATCTAACTGCATTTTTAATCTTTTTACCATGAATAGTACTAAATTAAATGTCTATAGAGATTTATTTTGGTCAACTTTATAGACATATAATATAGTCATTGAATGTCACTTTTTTGAAAAAATATTAAATTAAGTCATATTTTTGTCTTTTGAATTTAATTTAGTACTATTCATGGGAAAAGGCTTAAAAAAATCCCTGCATAGTGTCTTTAGGGCTTTATTGACTGGAAGTGTCTTTTGTGCAAAATGCTAGACTTATTGACTTCAATCAAGCAATTGTTCAAGTGCAAGTTACAACTGCAGCGTGCTTTGCTCTGACAGTGTGCCTTTCTCATTATAGTACACATTAAAAATCTAACTGCATTTTTAATCTTTTTACCAATCAAACTTTTTTGAAGTTATCTATTGTATTGTTTTGTAACACATGCATTAACTAACAAACCAATATCCCATTACAAATTTAACCTTTTATTTTAGTATAAAATCTCATATCTGCAGCATTGTTATACTCAATAATCTGTTTTTTTTTTAATAATAATACTCAACAATCTGTTACTACTACATGGAGTAACGAGGTATAACTAAAAATAAGACCAACATGCTAAAGCCATTTAAAATCTTACCTCCTGTGTAGCTACATCAACAGCAGCTCGGGATCCCCCATACTGCTTGCATCTATCCCCACCAGCAAGGCGGTTTTTTTTACCGGACTTAGATGCCCTTAGGAACTGTTTAGACCTCATATATTCTTTCACAACTGACCAAGTGAAATCGTTCACAGTTACAGGCCGCTTGTTCCTTGAAAATTTCAATTAGTTAGACAAACAAATTATGTAAACCATGTATCTTGAAAGAAAAATTGAATATTCAGAAGAAAAAAAACAAAACATTTATCGTTCTACCTTATTCGAGTCAAAATGTTGGAGTAGGCATGTTCTTTCAAATAATTTATATAACCTTCTTTTATTTGCTCATCACTGAACTGCTCAATATCCCAAGTAACTAACCTCTGTGCAATAACAAATAATTGATTTAAGAAACTAAATAATTAAAAATGATTTACTACAGAATTAAAATAACCTTAAACTGATCCCAATAAAGCTTCTTTGTTCTCTCTGGAACCCATTTCCAATGTTGGCCTGCAGGGTGCAAATTATATCTGATCTGTTTACCCACAATTCTCTGGAATCTCAAACTTCTTTGGTTGATAACTATGTTTGTTAGGCTGCATTTTAATGAATTGAGTTAGTTAGATTGAAGTTAAAAAAGTATAAAACAGTGATGGTGAACACTGAAACTCACTTCTTGGTTGCATTTACACCAACGTTGGGCTTTTCAAATTGTGCAACTGATACAGATTTGAAAGGGTCCAGAGGTGATTCCCCCCAATTAAGATGAGCGTATACTTCCGGCTTCCATTCTTTGGGATCCTCTTCGGTATCTTCATTTGAAATGTGTGTGGCAGCATTGTCTTCTAGTGGATCCTCACCAGTTTCAGGTGTTGATGAGTTATTCTCATCATTGGATAATGGTTCGAGGTTTTGGAGTGTTGGAATTACACGTTGTTGGTTATTTGTGGCTGACTTCGTATGTCTCAGACCATGAGACGACTGGTTATATTGGGACGGAGGCGGTTGGAGAATTTGCCTATTTTGCCCAACTGGCCAGGATGTACTTTTTCTGTTCACTGCAAACGGGGTAGATGATCTTGACTGACTGTGACTTGCTGGTTGTTTTGAGATGCTTGAGCTGCCACTTTTTTCTTGGGTTTTGTTAGCTCCTGTCCTATTTAGCATGGCAGCCCCAAATCCTTTTGCCGGAATCATGTTAGAACTTATTTATCTGTAGAAGTAGCACCCCTTAAAGCACCAAGAATCAAGTAAATCATCAAGTAAAGTAGATAACAAAAATAAATTCATGGATTCAAGGATTAGAGCAATCAAAACAATACACATCAGTTCTCTTTTACAAGGTATTAATAAGCGCAGCCTTTTTATAAAGGTATGGACCAACTTATGATAAATTCTGAAAAACTACTGTGATTTAATAGAAGTCCCACAATAGAAATTTATGTTTCAAGAAGATTTCCAGTAGCTCAATACAAGCCTCACACTAATAATCAACTTGGCATATCAACAAACACATAGAATGCATAGCTTTATAGTCATAAAATGTATGAGTAATCACTCAGGGAGTAATACTCCGTAGAATATCACTCATGAATTATACACGTATGGAGTAATACACTGTATGCTACCATTTGTAAATTTCAGATCTCAAATTCAAATCACTGCTACGTTCATAACAACACATATATTGAAGGGATGTACAACATCTCAAATCCAAATCACCACTACATTCATAAAAAAATACACATATGGAAATAATGATACCTTTTTTTGCTCCTGTCCTCGAACAATACTCCTGAGGATTGTCACAGTCGTTCCGCTCCTTCAGAGCCTTGCAAGAAGTTCTCTCGTAAAATTGGGATTAATATTTGGAGGACCAGGGATTATAAGTGCGGAAGGTTGAGAAGAATAGAAGCGGTGGTGGAATAGACCTGGAGCAGTGAGAAGAATGCTTCCTATGGGAGGTGGATCTCCATGGGATAGAGCAAAATATTGGAAGGGGTGTATGAGATCTCTCTATGACATTGTTTAGGGTTTCTTGAAATGGTTTAGTGGAGAAGTATAGTATACGGATGAGTGGAGGGAGTTTTGGAATTGGGGGAATGTGGAGCGGCCTAGCGGGACATCAAAATTTTAACCAAATAATTGGCGGAAACTAGACACAGATTTGGCGGAGCCTGAAAATATTTTCTTACACATTAAAAATTTATGATAAAAAATTTCAATCCAAATTTCCAATAATAAAAGGTTTGATAAAAAAAAATTAAGTGACAGTTTGGCAACATTGAAATCGGCTGAATTCATTGATTCTGTTTAAATTTTTGAAGTTCTGGCTGAAGTGGTTCTATTGGCTGATTCTGCTGATTTATTAAAAACTATATGTAAAATATACTTTATTAACAGAGTAATCATATTTAAGTTCATATACTGCATTATTATCAGCTGGTTCTGCTGATTTATTTTTTCTTATTATTACACAATTAAGCGTCTGAGATCAAAAGTTACGTGTTTGGTTAAAAAGTTTGCTAATAAATCGAAAAACAAAGTCACCAAACGGGCTTTAAATGTTCCACTCCAGATTTTCAAATGGTCTTTTAGCATTTTCAATTACTTTTTTTATTTATTATTTTTTTATGCATTTCCAATCTAGATTTTACATTTTGGATTTTTTATTCTAAAATTTCATTATTATTTAAAGAGTATCATTTCAAGTCATAAATTTAATACAGGAGAATGAACCATTTCAACTTCTTAATATGATAACTTTAATTTTTAACCATACATATAAAATGTATTGCTAATTAAACGGAATAATTAAGAATTACTTTTTAAAATAAATGGTAGTTTTTATTCAAAAAAAAATAAATGCAAGTTTTTTTTCGTAAATAAACGGAAGTTTTAGAAATCAGCATCGTAGGATTAAGATGTTTACACACAGTGCACAAAGCGACTTTATTCGTCTTGATCATTAGGATCTTCGTTATCAACAAGCTCGTTGTATGTTTCATCTACACTTGGGGGGGCATCATTGTTTGGTAGTCTAGGAAAATCCAACACTATTTCGAATGATATCCCCGGTTCGTTCTCTTGATATTCTTGTCCTTCTTCTTCCTCATCACTCAACTCCCCTCCCTCTTCTTTCTCCACAAAAGCCCGCGGCATGCATTGAATAACAGAATGCCACCTGTTGATTCTCTTCTTTGTACTTGGATATGAGACATACACAACTTGATCAGCCTGGGATGCTAGGATGTAGCAATCTAAACTACGAAGTCGAAATTGACTGTTCACATCCACGATCTTGTATCGTGGATGGACCCGTACACCTCTATCTGAAGGTTCGAACCATTCACATTTGAAGACAATTACTTTGTAATCCTGATATTCCAGCTGAATTATTTCTTGTATTGAGCCATAGTATTCGAGTGTTGATCCTTCATAACTTGTGCACTTGACCATAACCCCACAGTTGGAGGTTGTTCTAACTTCAGATCTTGTAATAGTGTTGAATTTATAACCATTTATATTAAGTGCCTGGTAGGTTGTCACATAGGGAGAAGGAAATCCAGATAAAGCACGAACCCACCGAGGATGATCGGTCATGTCATTTTGCACCTAAACATAAAACATGTTGTGTCAATCATTTTATTCAACAAAAATACAACATAAGCATATCCTTTTTAAGAAATAATTAACTATAAAATCTCACATGGTGATAAAACCAAAGAGGGAATTCTGTTTGTAACAAGGCATCAAAGGAACTTGTTGACCTTGTTGTGTTGAGGAACATTCTGTAAAAAAATTGGAAAAAATATTAAACCATATTTCACATATTTGTGCATGTGTGTAATAAAAATACTGGACTACTTAAAAAAACTACTACTCCGTATAACTTACTCTCTGAATGATTCAATCTCCGGACAGTTTCGCAATACATATGAGTGGACAGCATTGGATTCATTTTGATCCATATACCGCCTCGTACTTGCACCAATTGTTTTTGCCTTCTGTGCAAAAACTGAAACACTAAAATCAGTGTTAATCATGCACCCATCATCAAACCTGGGGATACGATGTGCTTTTGTGGTTACATCCTCCGGAAAGTAATAGCTTGCAAATGTTCCCATTTCACTTTGCAAATAACCTTCCCTAATAGATGCTTCAACCCTAGCTTTATTTCCAACTTTTGTCTTTAGCACCGATCCCAAGAAACTACAAAGATGGTAAGAAATAAGATATCAAGTAAAAAGTCCCTTCGGGGACATCCGATAAAATTGGAACGATACAGAGAAGATATCAAGTAAAAAAACATATGACTATATAATACGTTTTAACATCTACCTTTCAAAACGATACATCCATCGATATTGTGGAGGCCCCCCAAGCAAAGCTTCATCTGGTAAGTGCACAACAAGGTGTTCTGTAGGATCAAAGAATGAGGGTGGAAAAATCTTCTCCAACTTGCACATGATCACGGGGATATCTTCCTTTAGCTTCTCAATGTCACGGACCAATATAGTCTTTCTTGTTAGCTCACGAAAGAATAAGCTAATCTCCGTAATGGCCTCCCAAATCCAATCAGGTAGCATCTCTCTAAAAGCAACCGGGAGTAGGCGTTGCATGAAGACATGACAATCATGGCTCTTCATACCAAATACCTTAAGTTTGTCCATTTGCACACAACGCCCTAATCGAGATGCAAAACCATCTGGGAACTTTAATGAATCAATCCAGTTGATCAAGACACCTTTTTGTTCATTTGAAAGGGTGAAAGGAGCTTTAGGGTATTTCCCCCGAGAGTCTCTCTCCATGCTCGGCCTATGACAAATTTGTTCCATATCTATTCTCCCTTGCGTATGATCCTTCGATTTTCCTGGTACTCCCAAAATTGTATAAAAGATATTTTCAAAGAAATTCTTCTCTATGTGCATGACATCAAGGTTGTGTCTTATGAGCAAATCCTTCCAGTACGGGAGATCCCAAAAGATGCTACGCTTCTTCCATCCAATATTTTTTCCAACAATTGCATTATGCTCCATACCACCCAATTCAGTAACTGACATAAAACCATTTACCTCATCATAGCAGTACAACCCATCCCTGTGAATCGGAGGACCATACAAGATTGATTTACCTTTAGTAAAGTTATTTTCATCAAATCGAAATGGATGGTCACCTGGTAAAAACTTCCTGTGATTATCAAACCAACTATGCTTTTTACTGTGGGGTAGCCAGAATGCTTCGGTAAACTCAGTACAATATGGACATGCAAACTTTCCCTTTGTGGTCCATCCTGATAACATCGCATATGCTGGAAGATCACTAATCGTCCATAGCAAAATCGCTCTCATATTAAAGTTATGCTGTGAAACTGCGTCATATGTTGTGACACCAACCTCCCACAATTCCTTAAGCTCCTCCACCAGTGGTTGCAGGTACACATCGATCCCTTTCGCTGGATTCCTTGGTCCTGGAACTAATATAGTTAAAAATAAGAATTGTTGTTTCATACACATACCTGGAGGCAAATTATACGGTGTCACAATCACAGGCCAACATGAATATTGTTGTCCAAATTGACCAAAAGGTTGGAACCCATCTGTGCATAGACCAAGTCTCACATTTCTCGGATCTGCAGCAAACTCTGGAAAAACATTATCAACATGAATCCACGCCTTTGCATCCGACGGGTGGCGCATTACTCCTTCCTCACTGTGGTGAAATTTATGCCACCTCATATCATCTGCTGTAGCAGCTGAAGCATAGAGTCGTTGCAGCCTAGGAGTAAGAGGAAAATACTCCATTTTTGCAAGTGGAATACATTTATTTGACTGGTTGCTAATGTCGTACCTTGCAGTTGAGCAAAATTTACATTCCAATAACTCACTATCTGCTCTCCAATATAACATGCACCCGTTCGGGCAACAGTCGATGGATTGATGGCTCATTCCTAACACAGATAGTTTTCTTTTGATTTTGTTGAAATTCGGAATTGGATTGTTTGGGATGCTTGATGGGAAAAACCTATTTACGAATTGAGAAATTCTATCCATTGCAGCCTCTGATAAATGCATCTCAGTCTTTATATTCAGCATTTCTGTCATTGCACTCAATTGCGTCATCGGACAACCATCGAAACACGGTTGGCTCATTGTATCCAACATTTCATACATTTGTGTTGTGATAGGACAAGGTTCATCTGCAGCCTCACCGTGATCAAATCCCATTGGGAGTTCATTCCTTATTGCATCTTCAAACATTGATTTGTACGGATCATATTGCCCTTCAGATGTGTTGACATGAGATGAGCTACTTTCATTCAAATAAACTAATCCATTTGAATTATGTGGCTCCCCATGTGCCTCCCATACATAATAATCTTCCACAAAACCCTTTTCAAATAAATGTTGCTTAACAATATCCCATGTCATCCACTTTTTGTTCTTGCACTTTCTACAAGGACATGCAATAACACCATTTGGATATAAGTTTACCGCACTTTGGATAAATCCGGCAACTCCTTCCTTAAAATCTTCATTTAGAACTCCACGTCTTGCAAGCCTTTTATACATCCATGATCTATCCTGGCTCATTGTAAAACCTATACAAGATATAATATTCCACAATATTATTGATTCATATCACTAAATACTTTTTTTGAACGGAATATCAATAAATATTCATAAGCACTATTTAAAATGTAATTATTGTTTTTAAACCGTAAATGAAACATCAACCTTTTTTGTTTATATTTCTTAACTAATAACAAATTAAAATTCATGTATATATTTATCATTTAAATTACTCAAACTAGGGCCCACAATCTCTATATTTTAAAACACCAACAAACTATTATACATACCCATTCACGTGTTGAACATATACTTAAAAAAGAAATATTTGTTACACACTCTTCACATTAACCTAACATTAAAAATTCATCATATTTCATGTAAATATAAAACATGAATTAACAACTAAAGTAATATCAATTTTTTACTATCACTAATGAAATGGGCCGGTTGCCAAAAAAAATGAAATGGGCCATTTTTTCCAAACATTATCTAAATCTACCAAAAGGACTATTAATCTTTAAATTAGTTT